TAAATCATTCTTTTCATAAACATTGCTTTAACTTTAGAATTAACTAAATTATAATTATACCTAATGTAAATGTACATAGAAAACAGAATTAGATCATGCGCTGTTGCAATCTCAAAATATTTCCCAGCAAGCCGGCTTGAAAATGTTGACGGACTTGTGCCTATTCTGCACTAGATCCATCTGAGCAACTGGTTAGTTCGCCTGCAGTTCCCGCTCCTCCGCTTCACACTAATGTTAGAGAAGTTGCCGATAGCATACGGCGAACCTAGATCTGCTGCAGGGACCTACGCCAGGAACAGTGGGTCCGAAAACTGAAGAAGATTAATATGTTTGAGCACTCCATTACTTTACAACACAGCGGCAGGTATGTCCACCGGCTGCTTTAAGGATCAGTAACTCGTCATTGCTGGTACCAGAGATCAGAGTGCCAGAGAGAACACTGTCCTTAGAGAAAGGAAACGACAAAAAGTTTTTTCGGAAAACAGCGAAAAGAGAAGCTTCCTAATCTTTACTTTCCTCAGATATTATTGGGTGAACTACTCAAGAATGATTAGGTAGGTGGAGAATGTAGAACGCATGCGATCGATGAGATGTGCATAAACATTTTTAGTTTAAATCTTCAAATTAAGGAAGCAACTTGGGAGACATACCCGGAGACAGAGGAATAACATTAAAGTTAGTTTTAAATAACAGGATAAAGTGTGGACTGGATTCATTCGGTTCTGTACAGGGACCACTGTAGCACATTGTGCTGAACCGTCGTGCTCCGTAAAACTCTGGGAATTTCTTGACCATCCGAACGACTATTAGATCTCTGTTACATGGAGATATTAAGATAGTTTCGAAATTTATATGTAGGATTTGAGTTTCTCACAGCAATGATTATGAAGAGGTCTTTCATCTGGGACATAACACTGTGTAGCCCGTTGAAAGTTAACCGATGTTTCAGAGGAACACATCAGCTTGCTGCGTTCTACACGCTTGGCTTACTCTTCTACCCTGAAGACGGAAGCAGCATATTCCTCCTAAAATTCGGTTGGCTTTCAGCGGAATACAAGGCGTTATATCTAAGAAAAATAACTCATATCCTTCTTGTTTGCTTGCCATGGCCTGTATAGAATTTTTCTTTCTTTCAAATTTAGAAGTTTCTTTCATGTTGTAAGACACAGCCACCTCTCAAGTCTTCTCTACAGTACTAACAATAGTATGTTCCTTCGAGGTCTGCTGTCCAAGGTTTGTATATGAATTGAATGTATTGAAACTAACGCTGATAAAGCAGTTGAAGTGAAGGGAACCGTAGCACGTCTTCCGGTAGACGTTGCTATGGAAACCCATTGTGTGTTGCGTAGTTCCAGACAATGGCCGCGTAAATTCAACACAAACAAACACATGTTCACTATAATGACACTTGTGATATACATCATGTCGACGCTCAAGTATCTGAAATACGATGGTATCTCTAACAACAGGAAACCTTGGTACTGTCGAAGACATTTCCAAGATGACAGACTGTATGAGAGGTCTTTCCGTTCAAAGTCTCCGAGAGCGGAGATAAACAATTGTCGTTAAGAACAGAAGTCACGCAGAAAGAGATCTCACTTGAAGCGCGTAGCTTCGTTACTGCAACATAATATAATATCAAGTAAAAATGCGGTTAAACTAAGAGAAGAGTAGCTGCATTCAGAAAATTCTTGACGCCATTAATTCCGTCACATCCGTATGTCCAAAAGTAACAGCGCGCAAAACTGTGGGACCGATTATAGCTAGACTGCATGACTCCTCTTCATTATATTGTCACGTGTACGGCGGTACGCGTGGCTAAATGACGGGTTCTAGTTCGGATGATTGGATTTATTAGCACTTTGGTTACACACTCTCTCTTAATTACACTTAAATACAGCGCTGTAACTGATTTACAAACATTTCAGAATCCACTGTTGCACGCACACACTAGTCCTCTCCGGGTAACGTATCTCAACATAGAAATTAGCCTTTCAGATCACTCCAAATATTGTACGTAATTAATGTCTTCAAATCACACTTTAAATCTTCATAGGTCTTCTACGAACTTCCTGCGGCTCACACTTAAAACACTCTCACTGTTATTTAACACTCAAACACACACCCAAACACTTGAACACACTCAAATACTCTGAAACAGATACTCCTTATATAGGCGCCGCACGGAAACAGACAGCAAGTCACGTGATAGTACTGTTGCAGTGTGACGTTATTACCCCTACGCGAAAGTCTCTTTATTGAGCTGTTGCCTAGAAGCGGGTTGCATAAACTCATTGTTCCATTGTTGCGAGAATGTATTGCGTGTATTTACCGGTCCGTTACCTAGCAACGCTCTGGCCATCAACGTTACATTATGTCGCCAACACATTTTGATTTTAGTCCATTCTAATGCCACAATCTTTAGAGACATTTGATAGATTTTGATACTCGTATGTGTAACTTTAATCTAATTCAGTTCATTTGGAGGATCAGATTTCTGAAAGGAATATATTCTAGAAGTATTTCATTAAGTAAAGTGAAAGAAATCTCCATAAAAACTGTTTTTCATGAGATACCACATAAGATGTTACGAGCGGTATTCTTTAAAATGCTCCGATTTAGAAATTAAATCTATATTATATACATACGAGTATATGTATATCTTACATTGTGTTTGTCCCATCGAAAACCTTGTGAAAGTGTTGCAGTCCCGTACCAGCTGGCGGATCTCCTCTCTACTTGCCATGCACCATGCGAGGCAATTAGAGAGTACAATGAAACCAAATGCGCAAAGAGCCAAGTTCCTCAGTCTTGCGCAGTTTTTGTCTACCATTGTCGAGTTCTTGAGACAGTCACGTCATCGCATTTTATCAGGTGACGCAAATTTCGCCAAACAAGACTGTTTAACCGAGACTCCCGCTGGATATGCCTGCTCTTTGTCATCCGATTGTCAGTCACGTGATTATTTTATGCACGCAGAGTATATTTTGCTTTGTTTACGGTAAACCTGCTGTTCTAACCTAATTTTCTGTTTCGCAACTCTGCATAGAAACTAAACACGGTACTGATAACTGCCGTTCCCACATCATCATGAAAGCCAATAAAGGAAAAGGGACAGCAAATGGGTACAGACGTATAGCTATATGGAGCTATCAGCTTTCATTTCTGTCTTTGATTTAGTAGCAACCGGTACAGGACATTACCAAAGCCTGCCCGCAGAAGAATAACTCTGTGTTTCTATCATTAGAAGATAGTCTGTGAACTCGAAGTGAGAATATTAGGGTCTGATTCCGTAGCACGTGCCACACGCTCATCCTCTCAGAGGGGAGGTACCGAGGGGGAAGGAAACGCAAACGTCCTCTTGTATACTTCAGGACCCACACAGGGTTTGGCGTCGAGACTACACAGATCGGCTGCGTCGGAGCCAGTGCCTTTCCTCTCCTGAAGAAGGAGATACCAGTGAGAAGAGCGCCGGTCACTGTAGGCGAGAGGTCTAAGACATGCGCTGTCTTCGCTCGCTCGGAAGCCGGGATCGTGGGTTCGTTTTCCACAAAAGACATGGACATTTAATATGTGTATATGTTTATTCTGTGTTTAGGTAGAGGCCTCGCGACGGGCTGATCACTCGTCCAAAGAGTCTTACTGTCTGTAAAATTATCATGAAACTAAAAAGAATTAGAGGTCAGGTCCCAAGGGGGCTGTACAGCCAGTGGATATAAAGTGAGAAGAGCACAAGAACAGGTATCTCGTTAAACGCAATAACGTGGTCAAGAATCCACACATGGTTCCAAAGTAAGATGAAGAAACCCGCCTCACTCCAGCCATTTGTTGTCTTGTGATGCAGATGTTGCCATAGCTACCTGCTGTGCACCGACAGGTAGAATGGTGGCATTGCTCAGATGTGCTGCACCTGCTACATTCCAGTAGCTACAGAGGAAGTAGTTGCGGTACAGAATGGTGGCATTGCTCAGATGTGCTGCACCTGCTACATTCCAGTAGCTACAGAGGAAGTAGTTGCGGTACAGAATGGTGGCATTGCTCAAATGTGCTGCACCCGCTACACTCCAGCAGCTACAGAGGAAGTAGTTGCGGTACAGAATGGTGGCATTGCTCAGATGTGCTGCACCTGCTACACTCCAGCAGCTACAGAGGAAGTAGTTGCGGTACAGAAGGCATCATCTTGGTGCCCAAGTTCCCACTAATCGCGACATTCCATTCAAATTGATCATGCCAAATGTTTACTCAGAAGGCTTCCATCCACAGCGGAACTATCGATGTTAATATCTGAAAAATGCACTGACTGTTACATGATTAACCTGATTACCACAGCGCAGCAGATCATGAGGGGTGTGAAGTCAACAGAGACAGAAGGTGACTGAACTGCCTCGGTTATAACGGTTGTCTGTGGTGGACTTATGACAAAATAAAGCCTGCCTCACTAAACACTTCTCTGCAAGTCTGTTCCTCCGCTTCTCAGACAGGAGGTGCCTCGATGTACGTCACAGTCTGATTCAGAAACCAAACAGGGCATCTAAATTGTCCTGCTGAATGTGGCCAGTTGCAGTAATCTCAAATCGGGAGACCCAAGAACTCGTCTAGATCCTCCACAACGTCACTTCTTATACCGGCCAGCTAAATCCTCGAACTGGTGGCATGGCCGGAAACGCCTGACATGCAACTTCCGTCGTGACTTCAGGCATAGTTGAAGAGAGTGGCGCGTCTCGCATCCGAAAGTCGACACTACGAGTTAACCATTTGTTTCCTCTCGATCTGAGCTGCAATTTTTCAGTAAGGCGTAGGGTAGACTTATGACTTCCAGCTCTGGAACCAATCCTCTCCCTACCACGTGGTCACACTATAATGCTGCAGTTCTAGTTCCATATACTGCCGAGCTCTTTGTTTGCACGCCTTCAAAGCCTGAGGCACAGGGGCAACTTCACTTTCACTTTGCCTCGGTCCATGTTCCTCCTGCCAATGAGTATGGTTGGATCTGTCAACAGATTTATGCCGGTTCCCCAGCAAATGGGAGGGCAGCTGGTTCCAGTCCGGAGTGCGGCAGCCAATCATAATCGAGCAGAATCGTCTGAGCACCAAGGGGCGATGCATCGCCTCCGAGGGCGACAAGTTCGTCGTGGTGGACGAGTGAGTACGAAGTAACATGCTAAAAATCTTATAGGTGGCGTGTAGTTAAACGCCACGCATTCTCAGCCGTTTCTCTGTCATGTTTATCCACCTACAGCTAACATTTCCTTGTCAGGTTACTGGAGAAGGTTGGAGATTTCGATGGGCGGTGTTGTGCATGCATGGGATAGATGAGAACAAATACATCATTTTAATCATTAGAATCTGAAGGAAAAATGTCACTTGGGAGTTCTATACGTAAATGGGAGGATAATATTAAAATGAAGCTTAAGAAAGAAAGTCTAAGAATGTGTGTGTGGACTGGACTAAACTGGCTGGGAAAGCGGTAACGAATCTTCAAATTCCACAAAATGCGGAGAATTTCTTTACCAGCTGATCAACTGCGATATTTTAAATACAGACTCTGCTAATAGAAGTCATATAATTCTTGCACAGTAAAATGTTCATCAGAGGCTGCAACTTGTCGAATGTTTCTTGGGCCGGTGTTTCTCGCAGATTATAGCGGACAGATTTTCTCAATCGAATTGAATTGAACCTACCTGCCCCCTTCTGCTCACAAAGTAGATACAGTCTGATAATCATTCTAGCTGTATATAACAATAGCTTTCATTAAACTTATCATTACATAATTGCATAACGTTCATTTGCCGATGTACTTCTCATGTTAAAATAAGACGTGACGTCGTCATCTAAGCTACCTAATATATTTTTATGCTCCTTAAATTCTGTTAAAATACCGATATATTTCGGCCATAAATGAGGGATACCGGATATGAAAGCAAACTTCAATAAGAACTTTCTCCATTTAGTTATTCATTGTCATCTCATCTTTCAATATCGATAGTTGCGGCATCGTTACGTAAATTGCACGTGAACAGTAAATAGATGAAGCTAAGTAACATTCGCTCTCCGGCAACTCTTATCCACGAGTAAGAGATCTCTGCTGACAGCACTCCGGGGTTCAACTCTTATCTCTGTCAGATATCTGTTTAAAATCTCCAAAATCTGCACAGAGTAACACATAAACACCCATCTGCCGAAATCAATATGGAACTGGGTAGGGTCTTCATATATTTTATATGTTCTATACAATTCCGGGGCACGTGGTAGCGTAGTTGGTTGAGGCACTATGCTACAAGCCGGAAGGTCGCGGGTTCGAGTCCCGATGAGGTCGTTGGATTTTTTTTTAAATCGACCTAACCCTTCCAACCGCACTATGACTCAGCCTCTAACAGAAATGAGTACCAAGAATTAATTAAATAATTTTACTGGGGAGTAAAGCGCGGCCGTCGCTTAGGGCTGACAATCTTACCGCCATCTGTTAGCCGATTGTCTAGATAATGTGGGAGCCTCGACGTTTCACAACCCTATGGTCCTTCATGGCCTGGTACAGGGATAGCTTTACTTTTTTTTTCTTTACAATTCCGCGTACATCGGTTAATAAGTAAACGTATTGTTTCAGAGCTAATTGCAGTACAAATATAACATCACATAGTCACAAAATATTTGTTACAACTAATTAAATGTCAACATGTCGAGAACTATTTCAGATGAAACTGGTCTATTCTGACGAGATTTAGGGTGTATATTTTATGTCACATGTTAGTTTAATTACAAAAGAACCATATTTTAGACAAGTTATGCATTTAAATTTTGGTGTCATGTAAAATGTTATGAATTAAATTATTGGCCGGCATATTCCAAAATCAGATTCGTTTCAGATTTATCGCAGACAACTGTACCAAATTTAATCTAAATCCATCAAGGAAATGAGACGCACAGACAAGACCTCCCAGTCTTAGTTTGTTTACTTTACATTTTTGTAAGCAATGCATAACAACTTGAGATAAACTAGAAAATTAAATTGTAGAAAGTGATTTTTTTTTCTTTTGCCATACCGAAGACAAAGTAGATTTCGTAACCAGAAGGTTGCCTCTCAGAAGCTCTGCTAATTATGCAAAATAATGTTGGTGAAAAGCTTCTGGAGCTCACTTGCTTTCTCCATACTTGAGTCGTGAGGTTGTAGGAAATATATGTACACTTCGCATTCTGATTTTCGGGCAAATCCAATCAGGTTTACATTTAAAGACATCATCTCTTAGGATACTTCCATTCTGACTGTAACTACTGTCATTGAAAATCCACGAATAGTTAAGTTCAACTGTGATGTAACACGTCTCTCTCTCTCTCTGATTGTCTCAAACATTGAATAAGGACCAGTGCTTTTAAATGACACATTTCGTGTGTAGCATGCAATGGCTCCAAGAGAGACGCACCCTTCGCATTTGCGGTTCTGATGGCGGGTGACAGTAACGAAATCTGGGGGCTGACTTTTCACTACGGCGTTTTGAAAGTAGACATTGTTCTGGGGGTTCTCTCATTCCCAGCAGTAGCTGACAGTGAATACTCTCTTTAACTGCCTTGCATGTAACAGAAGTCAACGAGTATACCCGGGAATATCATTGAAAGAACTGAATTTTACTGTACGGACAGAAGTGCAGAACACAGTCGATATGTTATGATTGGGGTAGGGTGTGCCTGTCAAATAGAATAAGGCATCTGGAGTGTCATGCGAAAACCAAGAAGTTATAGGAATGAAGCCGGGAACTAAATCCAGAGATAATACGTCCAGTATCATCCAGAGAAAACATAAAAATATGATAAATACGAGTAGTAGTAAAAGCTTTGACATTGCTCTCGGAGGAAGCGGATCTTACAGTTTACTGACAGTAACAATGGAAAAGTCCCTAATTAATTTAGTGGGTACACGAAGCTTAGGAGTATCCGTGATGGAGTGACAGTTCATTTTGTCTTTAAATGGATTAAAAGGAAGAACTTCTGAAATAAATTGCTTCTTTTTTTTTTAATTTTAGATATGTCAAGACCAAGTCATATTTGTGAGAAATGTCCGACTGATAAAGTCGACTGAAATATAAATTTGTACATTTCTTTTGTAACTTTCGGCTACTCCAGCAGCGAGAGCCATAGGTGAAGTTTGTCCGAAGCAAAGCTCTGCATAGAACTATAAGACTATCCAGAGAATAAAACTAAGCCCATGTGTTACGAAAAATTGAGTTCTAGGAGCTTTAGTGCTTTAAGACACTCCTCAGTGTAATAATTCACATTAATATACTTAGACTTAAGAACAAAAGAAATAGCACTAAACTTCTTAATGTTAAGATTCGCGAAATTTTCTCCTTTACCGCATAAACTTTCGAATGCAAACATTTGAAAATCTCCATAGAGTTGCTTGATACACTTTGTGATCAGAAAATAATAAAGTTAAGAATGACTTTTGACACATCTTTAATACAAATGTTGAACAAAAGGCGGTCAGACTGTAACTTTGTAGTACACTAGAAAACATAGACAACTGGGAAAGAAAACCTCTTAATATACCGACAAAGCAGACCTACATGATGCGCATATAGCTGTGAAACCAATTAACTTATTGCAGAGAGAATACAGAACTATTAAGTAAATAATTTAGCTCCTTGCGGCCAGTTTTAATTTAATAAGTGTGTGCTGAATTGGGTTTAGTTTAAATTTAAAATAGGAGAGCTGATTATGAATAACACGTGCATATGCTTTGGAAAAGGTATTTATAAATTAAATAGGGCGGCTGTCAATCACTTGATCAATAAACATAACAATAGCTACAGCTATAACTCAGAACTGTAGCCACATCCGTGACAGCGGTGATCATGATGATAACAGACAAATACTAGGAATAACAATTCTGATGATCAGCATGATGCTGCTGCCGGCATGTGACATGACGTCACGAAGAGAGTGCCCTACAGTGATCCTTCCGTACCGCATATCGCTCATTGCTCTTGGTGTGTGACGTTATAGCCCACTATTGCACCCATATCTCAGACATCTAAGTTCAGCCCGCACCCTTACACCCTCTTTCTTTAAGAACAATTAGTTTTACCCACTTATATACACGTGAATTTCAAATGGTCTCTTCCCTTTAGCTTCACTACGTTCTTATGCATTTCTCACGCAATTTCTTCCTTTATTTGATCTACCTAGCAATATTTAATGAAGAGCAGAAATTAATTAAGCTCCTCATTAAAATAGCATTGTCTTTATGGAATTTATGCCTAATGAACCATCGCAGCTGCAGATACCACAGTTGAGGTTCGGCCACACAGAGCGCTACGTACGCTACGTACGCTATGTTCTCTATACGAACAGAAAAATATCTCCCTTTGTTGCCAATGTGACTGGCCACACAGACTTCCGTACGCTACGTACGCTATGTTCCCTATGTTAGCTGCGTCTCAGAGTGTACACAGCGTACGTAGCGAACATAACGTAGCGCTCTGTGTGGCCGAACCTTAGCACAGCGATTGATACGAATATGTAGGCCTCCCGGTATACAAAACTGTCCTTTACAAAGGGTCAGTGGACTAGATGAAGCTCCAGTACTACAAGACACGGATTGGAGGTAATTTTGTGCCGACTTGTAAAGGGTGTTGCTACTTTACTGTGTCGCTTTCTGAAGTTTCTAGATCGATAAAGGGAGATCACCCATCCAAGAATTTACATTTTGCTAATAGCTGAATAAGTGCCAGTATCAGTGTTTCAGCATACTCGTATTTGTTAATGTGATTGCTGATAAATATCGTGCGCATGCGCGCTATGAGTTGCTCAAGTTCAGTGCACAAAACTGCTTTGGTTTTGATATATTATCGACTTATGTGTCTTCATCCTCTTGCCAAAGCCTCCAAGGTTTTCTGACGTTTCACTCCGTAGCTTTATAATTTAATGGTGTCTTCGTCCACGTGTCTTTACTCATGCAAGCTCTATGGGTCTGCCATATCTTTCCATAATCTCTTCATATTTCGTATCGACCTCAACTTACTCATCTGTTTGAATTTTCTAACCTTGTAGTCTAGGTTTGTATCCAGCTGAGAATCTTATCACATTCCTGCCGTTTGTGTCGTCTCTGTCATTCGTGTTCGTGTTCGTGTTCGTGTGTTTTTGCGTAGCCGCAGCATTTTACCACTTTTTACAGAAAGACTAGCATGTGTAATTGCAAATATATGTTACCTAATGAAACATGATGATCCCTTCTCCAGTGCTACACGGAAGAAAATTCTCCCGAATTTCCTATTCATTGAATTCGCGAACCATATCTCAGGAGCTGTAATCTCTGAGAATTTCATCCGCACTGGAGCCTAGTTCCTGCCGAAACTCCGGGTCTATGAGATGGATTATTTTGGCTGTGAGTTGTGGAGAGAACTTTCATTCTCCGGGCAGAATTCAAACCCACGGCCTCTGTGGTCCGGATAATTCATCTTCGGCCATTTTAAATTAATCTCTTTCTCCCTTTCTGCTCTACTGCAAACACATCTCTCCATTTGTATCCAAATTATGCAAGATTCGATACATATCGAATACTACTCTTTTTGGTGAAGTTCGTTTCAATATTCTAATATATTTCACGCGTATTATCGAATCTTCAGTTAGTGAACTGGTGATATGGAAAGTGAGTGGAGGCGAAGTACTGAAGTATGTGAAGTACGGACTGTGGACTTCATCTAAAGACAGCTAAGGTGTTTCGACAAAAGCTTGGTGAACATTTTGCTACGTAAAGTGAAGTAAGAACTTCCAGTTTCTTAAGATAAGATTTTTCGGAAGCTCTGCACTTTTTTCAAATTTCTCCGTTAATGGGGCAAAGTGAATTGTTACTGGGGGCAAATTTAAATTGCATGCGTTTTTTATTTTACGATTTTTATTAGTCTTTAAATTAATGCAGGGAAAATCAGATAAATATGTTACAGAAATAAGATTAAGGCGATTAATGATCAGAACTACGTCTAAGGACAACAGTCATACAAAACAATATACAGTATATATACACATAATCAGTTACTAGATTCAGGAACGAAACAGAAATTGAAGGAAGAATTTCACAGTTAAAGTGTATAAGTCACATTTTATTCATAGCCAAGATCCTTTTCTTGTTTCGTAGTCGTATGTAAAACGGCGTACACTTAGGCTTCTAGGCTTTTGGGTCATTGTAACTTGGTTTCACCGGGTTCAGAAAGTGATTGATGTAAATTGAGTCATATAAGTCTCTCCCAGAGGCTACTACTCTGCTACTGCTACTGCTGCTGCTACTGTTTAAGGAAGTCTGAATTCTCTCTTGCTCTCGGAAAAATTCAATTAAATTCAATTCAATTCTTTATTATTTATGTGCCAAGTCAACAGCCGCAAGGCCAATTACAGACTTAGCACAGTGTAGATGAAAGTAATTACGTGTAAATTATACAGACATTAGACAAACACATTATAAGTCAAAAATAAATTACAGGAAATTTCTTGGGAAAACACAGTAATGAAGAAAAGTAAACAAACAAGCACATAAATGATAATAATAACAATAAAATAAAGAAAGGAATCACATGGTGTCCTGCTGCGTTGTAATTCGTGGCCGCTGTGGTCCTTCTTTGGGGCTGAAGGAAGAATTCCAACTTTTTCTTCCTTTTTTACGATTTATTGGGAACTGTTTATGTATCAGTTTTATCGACGTTGAACGCACAGATGGGTCGTGACCTATATCTTAACTGTACATCAATAAGCACAGAGTAAAATGTTGAATTTTAGATGTTTATTGCAATTGTTTCTGGAAAATACTGCAAGGCAGTCCCTGACGACAGATGGAAGGAGAGACAGACTGTTTGCTCTAGTATAGGGCGAGTGGATGCAGTACTCTGCAGTACTCGACAGGTCTGGTGGCAGCCAGACTGATCTGCCATCAATTCGCAGACCGCGTGTCTCTGGACCTCTTTGCGAGACCTTCACGATTTGTTCTCGGCAGTGCGCCAGATTTATTTTAAAACAAAAAATTCGCTTAGTGGGGGGCGCAGTCCAGTTGGGTCCACTCGGCACGGCGGCCACTGATTGTAGCCTACCCTGTGTGATTATGATGATAGAGAATTTGGTGGAATGAAGTTTGGCAAGGGAAACCGAAATACTCGTGGAAAACCCGCCCCAGCGCCACTTTGTCCACCACAAATCCCACTTGACCAGACTCAGAATCGAACCCGGGCCGCCGCGGTGGGAAACTAGCGACTAACCGTTTGAGCTANGCTTGACTTATAGACGGTATTGGATTGGATAATTGGATTTATTGGCCACCTTATACACACCACTGAGAACTACAAACAATTTCAGCGCTATCGTTGATCTGCACACTTTATAGTTCACCGTTACGCACAGATTAGCTTTCTCTGCCTTCACTAGTCGTATCCTGGCAACGGATTTCAACACAGTTATACAAGTCTCCGGTCTAGAAAACCGAAATTAACGGCCGTGGGAATCCGTTGCGGTGACCACTCGACACCCTCTATCTGCAAAAGTTGACATTAACTTCACTAAAGTCCCCGGAGCCAAGTTATGCCAGTCTCACTGTAACTACAGCACACATGAAGTGACCTTTGCACAGCCTAATTCCTTTCTTGCCATTTCTTCTCAATCATCTTCAAGCGTCATCTATCTCAGTTATCTGCTGCAACTGCCAACTCCGGAATTCGACTCAATTCGCGTTCTAAAGAGAGAGGGAGAGTCACAGTTACTTTCGGTTATTCTGGAACCTCTTATAATTCTTCGACACGGTTCCCGTAGAAAACACGTGTCAGACTGCTAGTTCATTGGTCCATTACCAGCGCTGGGCGTGGCACGGATGACATAGGAAACGCAGCCTCCTCTAATGTTGCGTAACCTAGAAACGGGCTGTTTACCAAGAATCTGTCTTCACGAGAACTTGTTTACCAACCCATTGCCTAGCAGTGGGTGTACATGTAAGAAACAGTATGTACAAACAAGAGGTTTGAGCCATATGTATAATGCTTGAAACTTAGAGGACAGCTGGTATATTGATGAAGATTAAAGGTTTTAGGACACGTGTTGCTCAGCCTCCCTAACGAGAGCTCTGTGTGTGTTTGTTCTAGCAAAGGGGGCTGTTTCCGCTGCGTAGTGATCCACGAGAAACACGCCAATGTGCTGCAATACAAGGAGAGTAAGTAACTGCGAAACCCGACATAACAGGGCAATTTTCATTTGTATTGCTGTATGTAATACTATTGCCGATCACGTGGTCGCGCTGTCTAAGGCATGAACTGCCTTCACTCGCTCGAACGCGGGGATCGTGGGTTCGAATCCCACTCAAGGCATGGATGTTTGTATTTTGTGGCTTTTTCTGTGTTTATGGTGTTCTGTGTGTAGGTAGCCGCCTTGCGACAGGCTGATCCGCCGCCCAAGGGGTCCTACCGACTGTGTTTAGGATCAAGGAACTGAAAAAGCGGCCAAGGCCCAACAAAGAGCTGTAGAGCCACAATAATAAAATGTAACACTATTACGTTCAGTGCTAATCCCTAATTAACTCTTATCCGGATATTTTAGCACGTTAAATGCTATAAGCTGCTGTTATAAGCTGCATGCAGGATGTTACTGTTACGAAGCAGGACGTTCCGGAAATTAATGAGAAAATGAGTAAAGCGTAGTTTCATGATGCCGATGCGTGAGTGAGAGGGATATGCAGCTAATTGATTTAGCTTTACGATCCATGCCCTCTCATTACAAAGCTTCAAAATTTTACGTAATAGCAATTACTCTCAAACCCGAGAGATCATTATGTTTATTTTAAAACTTCATTGAATCCCACTGAGCGCCAGCACAGGCATCACAAAGCTTACTTTCCTTGTAGAGGTTTAGTCATTCCCTCTGGTTGTCGTCTTACAATATCTGATAGTATGAACTTGATTTTGCTGCATATCCCATAGTGTTTTCCAGACTGCTACCGTCAGTACATTTCATTGCATTTTGCGGGAGCAAATTGTGCAACTTGCCGTTGTATTTCAGCCGAAAAGTGCTCGGCGGGATTGTTATGCTAAAGTTCCAATTGGGAACTGACTAATCTCTGAAGCAAATTCCGGGAAGTAGGTGTGCAACTTCCTGTCATTTCTTCTCTATCCTTCATTCAAAACCATAATTTCTTATCATACTGGATGCTTCATAATATTAGCAGTTGGTATGGTGTTGTAAAACGACGGAATAACGCTGCCCTTTGAATTACTTATGGGATGTTCAGCATGTTCAAGATGAAACCTTATAAACACAAAATATAAAATCCGTGAGACCCTGCGCATAAAATGTGTTTCCACGTTGTCCCTTTTTGCGCCGCGCAGGAGAGCCTGTCTCTGTCCTTACGAGCGCTTTGGTACAGTGTTTACTGCATGGTTATCGCTAGCACAGTCAGTAGAGCGACTGACTACGGGAAGGACGGCCGAATTGCCGGAGTTCGAGTCCCGGTAGGGGCAAGATTTTTCTCCTCTCAGCGTCGTCCAGACCGGTTGCGGGGCGTGAAGCTCACCACTCACCAGCTAGTGCCGAGGTCAAGAAAACGTGGGTCTATATATGCGTTTCCTCCGTACGCCCTCACGGCGTAGTGCTTAATTAGTTAAGCACAGGCACAACTTTATCTTTTCTACGTTAGAAATTTGCACGCATCAGGACGGTCCTGTGACCAGCCGTCTTCACGACCTTGACCCTCGTTTTCTTGGACTTCCTGTATCTTGAAGCAAATGCTGAAATGGCTCCGAAGTTCCAAGCTGGCACTGCCCTCAAAATTGCTGTCAAAAGCATCAGAATTATTTTTTCCAAATTATACATTTCGACATTAATTCAGAAAACCAAAATTCCTTGGCCCCTGTGTCAAGCCACTGTTACTAACAATTCCAGGATCTTCACTTTCACCCTGCTATTATCAGAAGAACGAGTGTGGAAAACCTGAGAATATTCTATCAAAACGACGCTCTCTCTTCCGCCCCGCATTAAACTCCCTTTCACGTCTTCCATGTACCCTTTGGCTATACTTTTACTTGTCTCTCTCTTTCTCCTGTGTACGTTTCAGCTTTCTGCCACGCGCGGGAGGGCCTGCAGAGTCTGTGCTCACTCATCACCGGCGACGCATTGTTGTACTCCATGTTCCGCGTGGAGGCCACTCCGGTGGAGTGCCCCTTCAAGGGCCCGCTGTCCTTCACGTACAACCGTGGGCACGGGGAGTGCCGTTCTCCCATTTCCAGCATCGACTCGTGCACGGAGGATTCTCGGCTTCTGCTCCGCTACCAGGCGTGTCCCGACGTGCACGGCACGGAGAGCACCGGTAAGGAAATGGCATTTGTATTGAGGGACAATCTTAATCTAGTCCGAAATGGATCACAGGAAATCCTGCATTGCATGCAGCTCTAACCGAAAGTTTTAGGTTCTGTGGCTTTAGTCCGCAAGCGAACTATACTGACCGAGCGACTGCCGCTTGTCGGCGAACTTAGTGCCAACTTTAGCGGATAGACGGTGGCGTGTGGGGGAGTAAAGCGCGGCCGACGCGTAAGGCTGACAACCTTACCGCCATCTTTGAGCCGATTGTCTAGATAATGTGGGACCCTCAACGTTTCACAACCCTATGGGCCTTCACGGCCTGTTACAGAGATAGCTTTACATTTTTTTTAGTTTTTACGTAAATTAGAGAAATCAGTTTTATCTGCAATGAAAACTGATTATTTTGTGTTGAGATCGATAATCGAGGAAGATACAGACACCTTATCATATAAAGGTCACCGTTGGAAACATGGCAATGGAACGAACTTTAGAATTATAACTGAAACTTTAGTGTGGGGTATACCAGTGTGGTGGGAATCTGTCGCAGTTTAAAAACGGTCCATAGTTCGAAAACTTAATAGTTTACGAGCTACAATGTTCTATTTTCGTCATTATACTTCTTAAAATTCAACATACTGAAATAATATAATTAATTATTTATTGTGATATTATTATAAATACATATTTCGAGCGACTGATTTCGCATTATTTACTGTCATAGGACTACATACTGGTCGCTTGACGCATCCAGTGCGTGAAATCGAAGTCTGGTCAGTTTCAGAAAACGTCCAAAATGGATAATTATATCTCAGAAATTATATGGTTGATATATAATGTAATTACGAGTATATACTCAGACTTATAGAGATATGTATGAAAGATAAAGTTCTGGAGTTTCGATTGGAACCTGTAAATAATTTTAAGGAGTCTGTTTTAATATATTGTCACATGTAGCAATGTCTCGCAGACGGGGTTTGGATTGGTGAATCGATTGATTGGATATTCACAAGTTGTAACTACAGTTAATTATAAAACTATCAAGATTACTGTAACTGTAACACGTCGTAACTACGAATGATTATAACACTCTAAATATTGCTGTAACTACAACACACAAAACAATCTTCAACGGCTGCTTGCTTGGCAACACGATGAGTCTTGTAGAGTCTCTAAACTGTTGATAGCAAGCGCCCTGAGAGTTCAGTGCTGTGTAAAGCAACAATTTACAATATTGTAACAAAATTACTTTCAGCGTGATCGGTGTTGGACAAAATTAAAGCTCGACTGAACAAGAACCTAATGACATCCGTGCTCGATTAGGAGCAGGTCCGGAGAAGTCGCTATGTATTTTGGCTTTTCAGTGTGAGTTGCCAAATATACAGCTCATGTTGGTACGAAGTTGCTAAAGTCATGGTGTTAACAAAATTGCGGTTGTGCGTAGTCTTTTGCCTCCTTATTGCTAAACAAGAATCCGATGCTGTAGGTGGTCTCAGGGAACCGGTATTGATCCAGAACTTGGGTTTTATTCTTATGACGCATTGTACACTGTAAACGATTACGTAAAGAGAATAACTGTTATTAGAGCACAGGAAGTCCTCATACTGCACATGAAGTTCCATTATAAGATTTAAAATATGAGGTTTGATATACAGTTACTGCACAGAGAATAACTGGTCCCGTGTCCATTTCACGAAACAGTAAATTCTGAACTTTATGTGAGACTATTTCTTTTGCCCTTCTTCTGTCTCCTGTCTTATAAAGAACAAATCGCACGAAATTTTATTCAAGATAATGCAACGACACACACTTCGGACAATTCTATGTGTAAACTAAATGAAGTCTTTGGCGAAGAAGTCTAAGTTGAGGATTGTGGCCTCCTCTGTCACCTGACTTTAATCTTTGCGATTTTTATTTTTGGGGTACGCTGAAAGATGAAATATGTGTGTACCATCCTGTCTTTGTAAGAAGGTCACTACAATATGAGGCACGAAATGTTTGCTGTTTCCGTACAACCGCTTCGACATGTGTCTGGAAACATATTCTCACAATCTCAGGCATGCTCAGACTCAGAGGCTAAAACCTGCCGCGGCGGGTCAGTTCTGTCAGAGAGCCGTATGAGGTGTGGGAACAGTTCTAATGTGTAGTTAGACCGGAACTTTATATCGCCATGTTCTGGGCACAGTTAAGGCTGGGAACTGTTCTTTTGCTTATTTGCTGTTCGTAGCAGTTGCTATATTATTATTGCTATTCGGTATGCATCGCAGATGTGCCTTTAAAATTCTGATGGTTCCAGCAACGAATTGTGCGTTGTTTCTTACCCATAAAATGAATCGCCTTTTCTTTTATTCTTTTACGAAGTATTTTTACCTGCGTAGCTTATCGAGGATCCTCCCTTATTCAGTAGTTCAACATTAACGTAGCTACAGGCATACTCACTTACTTACTTACTTACTTATTTACTTACCTATGGAGCTGAGCCCTTCTTGAGGAAAAGCCAAATCTGGAGCTACTCAAGAATTTCCCAGCATTTTATGGAACTCGAAAGTTCATTACCGTGTTCACAAGAGCCCTCCACTGATCTCTATCCTGAGACATATCAATCCAATCCATACCATCCCATTCTATCTCTCTAAGATACATTTTAATATTGTCCACCCACATACGCCTTTGTCTTCCCAGTGGTCTCTTTCCTTCTGGCTTTCCCACCAATATCCTATATGTATTCCCCCATTCGTGCTACACGCACTGCCCACCTCATCCTCCTTATCTTGATAATTCTAATTATACTTGGCGAAGAGTACGTGTTATGAAGCTCCTCATTATGCAGTTTCCTCCAACGTCCTATCACTTCGTCCCTCTTCGGTCCAAATATTCTCCTCAACACCCTGTTCTCAAACACCCTCAGTCTATGTTTCTCCCTTAATGTCAGAGACCAAGAAGCCAAATAATCATAATAAATGATATAGCATTGTTACGAAATATATAGATAAATCACCACATGTAACATCCATACCATACCCACGCCAACAAACTCAATTCCTGGCGAGGGCGGTAGCATGAACATTTCAATATCAGGCTCCCGTTCCATTCCGCAAAACTCTGTACATTCTGAAATAATATAAACATCGAAGTATGCCAGAAATTCCGTCTGTTGTTTGGTTATCATAAATTTTCCTCTGATTAATTCGTATTCCACAAATGAAATCGTTTTGGTCAAGATTAAACCGCTGAGCTGGTATGTGTTTTAACGTAAATATTTTCGTAATGATAGCCTACAAGGGGCGGGTGGAGGGTGAGATGGACTGGGCCACACCCTGTAAAGAATCATAAATAGCCCATGATATGACACAGATATTTAACGTTGATGCTAGTGTATGTTGCATGTAATGTCAGAGGTTGCTCAGTACCGCAGAAATATTTCCCGGCACTGCTCCAGTTTACGAATGCAGCAATTCGTTTCGAGGCCAGTGGTGTAACTGGTCCAGTTTAGCAACTACAAATAAAATTAAATACATACAAGAAGTTCTGGGAAGAAATAATTATCTACTTTCCTTTGAAGCAACGCGGACCACATAGAAAACGACGTGTCCAAGATTTCATCTACTGTACGTGTATGTGTATTCGTTGCCGCAGTAACTTTTTATAGGGCCGTTGCCTAGCAATGATACGTGGATACATATACAGACACACAGACTGCTGGGAGGGACTTAGTATACACCGTTGAGATGGGCTCAGGTGCCGTGATATACATGCCAAGTTTCGTAAAGACTGGTTCAGACATTCATGAGTTGATTGGGGGGGGGACACGCAGACAGGCAGTGGTGATCTCATAAGCCTACTCTCATCTTTTCAAAACAAGGAAAGTAGGCTAAAATTATATTAAATCGAAATATAACCGCAGATTGTGTTGTTATCGTCATATTTGTAATAGTTGGTCTGGAAGTACGAGGATTATTTCTTACCAAATTTGTAGTCTGTCTTCATATAAAATTCCATATCCTTGCTCCATTGGTCCAGTAGTTGCCGCTGTCAAATCGAAAATTCAGTGAACATTTGGCGCGGCTACCATGTTTTAATTTTACATTCTGCGAAACAAAATTTTCTTAGGAAATATCGCATGTCTTTCGAAGACATTTATACGGAGTTTCGGTTGGAAAGTCGAAAGGGAAGAGGCCTCTTGCAAGACGTAGGTGTAAATGGAGAACAGTAAAGAGCTTGAGAAGATGCAGATTGGATTCTTCCGACACAGGATTGAGGCCATTGACAGGCTCTTCTGAATATTCTAATGGGGCTTTTGTATTTAACGAATGTGAATTTTGTGACTGGTTGAGGGACTGTTAGCTTCTCAAGAAAGGCTTTTCTGTAGCTACTGTCGCTAGGTATATTCGATGCGGTATGTAAACTGTCTCCATGGAGCAGAGCCCCTCTTCAGAAGCCGCAAGTTGTGCAGCTGCTCAAGAATTTTCCAACAATTTATGGCCCATAATAAGTAGTGTTGCATTAATTATTTTGTGTTAATTTCGGTTTTATGTAAATGTCACATAAGCTTTGCTGTTTTTTATGTCACGAATCACTTTTATTCGGGATAATTTACTCTCAGGTTCCTAGGCAACTTAATGAGATGCACCCATGAATCTGTTTAGACCATTAACTGATGTGGGCCATAAAATGAACTAAACAGACTGGTGCAAATTGGAGTGTGGTTCTGTGAAAGGAGCTGCCACATACACATAAGAGTTTGTTTAGGACCTCAAATGAAGATGTCCTTAAAATAAATCGGAATAAACCAAAATAAAAGTGGTTCTGATTGTAGACTTCGCTTACTGATACATCCTAAAGGGTTCTAACGATGGTGTATAACATTCAGAATTAATGGGTTTGCGGACTTTGTCCATCGTCCAGTATTCAAGAAGTTGATAAACACAGTGTTTCGGAAACTGTATCTGTTTCCTCTCTCAGGTGAGGTGGAAGACACCTGCTCTGTTGGATCCCTTAGAAAGAACGAAC